CCCTGTACTTTTCTAAGCGTCATCTTTTTGAAGGATTGGTCTCCTGACAACATGACCAAAATATGCGAGATGTTTCACCATCCTCGCCTCTAAGGAACACTGTTTGCACTTCCTCAAAGACAGATTTGTTTGTTCTTTTGGCAGCTCGTGGGCTGTTCAATACTGTTCACCAACACTACAATTCAAAGACATCAAGTCTTCTTTGGTCTTCCTTATTTATTGCTGACATTTCAAATGCATATGAAACAACTAAAAATATCATGACAGGTCAGGTACACCCTGCTATTTAAATTGACATCCTTGCTCTTCTACTCCTTAAAGAAGTCCTTGACACCAGATTTTCCCACTATAGCACATCAATTTCTTGACTGCTACTAATATGAGTGATGATAGTAAATTCAATTACAATGAAACTGTTGACAAATCCAATATTTTCTCTTCTGCCACTATGTTATTCCTCTTTATATCTTACTATATTATCTCTCATTGCAACTGTTTTAATATTGACACAGTCAAGCAAGTAACTATTGAGTCTATTGGACTGAAAGCAAGTGACATTTTGGAGGAAATTTGGGAGCAGAAGCCAAAATGCAGTATTTGAGGAATGAGTGAAAGGTGAAAACGTGCAGAGAAGAACCAAAAATCTGTAGGGGGAAGGAATATAGAAGCTAGAGTTCTCTGAAGACAGTAAAGCGAATGTATTTTCTCTGATGACAAAGGCTCGACTTGTTCATATGCTGAGGAGGAAATAATAAAGATATTTTGGTGATAAAAAGTAGAGGATGCAAAGCCAGGCAAAAGAGAGAAGCAGCATATCTTTAACTAGGAAATGAAAAAAGAAAAAGATGAGCAGAGCAGCCAGACAACTTTCTAGGGATGGTGGAAATAAAAAGTGTTCCTGTTTGTGGTTTAGATTTAACAATGTCCCTTTCTGCAAAGAGCATTCAATGTCTAGCACCTTCATATCTGCTCTCACTTTCCCTGTTTCTGTCATTGTTGTTATTCTTTGCTGTGGAGTTGAGACAGACCCATAACTGACCCTCAGTAGATTTTCAGAGGCGGTAAGTCACATGGGAGAGAGAATGACCATCCTTCTCCCACAGAGCAGCTGGTGGATTCAAACTGCATTCCTTTGTGATTGCAGTGCAGCTTCTTACCATTAGGCCACCAGCACACCCTTTGTTTGTTGTTGTTGTTAAGTGTCATCAAGTCAGAACCAACCTATAGCTGATCTTCCAGTGAGTTTTTTTCAGACAGTAAATCACTTGCGATGAGGTTGTCCATCCTCCTGCAGAGTGACTGGTGGATTTGAACTGTATGCCTTTGGGATTGCAGCACAGCTTCTTACCACTAGGCCACTAGTGCTTCTTGATGGTACGGTGAATTAAATGTTAGGCTGCTAACCAAAAGGTTACCAGTTGGAACCCACCAGCCATTCCACAGGAGAAAGATGAGGCAATGGGATTCCATAAGGATTTGTAGCCTTGGAAACCTCATGGGAGTCTACACTGTCCTACAGCATCACCTTGAGTTGGACTGATGGCAGATTTGATTTTGGTTTTAGGTGGTGGTGGTTGTTGTTGTTGTTATGTGCCGTCGAGTCGTTTGCAACCCATAGCGACCCTATGTACAACAGCCCTAAACTCCGCTCTGTCCTGTGTCAATCGCACTGTCTCTGACACACCCATCCTGATTACCCCAGTCACTGAATCAATCCACCTCATAGAGGGTCTTCCCCTCCTGCGCCATTCCTCCACCCTACCAAGCATGATGTCCTTCTCCAAGGGTTAGGTAGAACTCAAATTATTTTATCTTAAAACTTCCAGAGCAACCAACTTTCCCCTCCTTTGACTTACAGCATTTCATTTGTTTCTGGTTCTCCCTCCAACTCCCTTATTTTTTCCTTCATCTTCTTCATGGGAATCCATTATTCTGCCTGGTCCTTAGGATTCCATCCCATTCACTCCTTAAAATTATAATCTCACCTTATCTCTAGCTTTAATCCTTCATCCAAATTCTCAATTCCTATTTTCAGTTGTTGATTTGACATCTCTTCACTTGAGAGTGTATTGTAGTCATCAAACCAAAGTCCTTTACATTCTTTTCATCTTCCTTTGTCCACCCTCATTCTTTATAGGTTGTAGTGGACTGGATGGCACCTAACAACAACCACCACCCCCACTCTCTACATTTCCAGTTAATTATTTAAAACACTCTTATCGCTGTCACTGAGACTCATAGCTGACTCTCCATTGGGTATCCAGAGCTGTAATTGCACAAGAGGAGATTTCTCATTTCCTCACGGAGCCTTTTGGTGGGTCAAACCACTCACAGTGCAACTCACTGCAGTCACCACTAATGACCAGGGGGTCATTAGTCTGATTGCATTTCCTCCAGAAGCCTTTTGTCATCTTTCTTGGGATCTTTATCAAGCAATTAACTCATCTCCCATCTAACAGTCTTTTCTATATCTTCTCCACCTTTAAAATGTTATTATTTTGTATTTTCCTTAGTAACTTTGAGGCCCAGTATCAAAGAAGTTCCTTATGGAGTTTATCTTATTCGTCCCCAAAATGTATCTCTTAATTCACATGAGAGAAAAGGGCCAACCGAGTCCAAATTCAAGAGTGTCATGTGAGCTTTTTCTTCCATTCAGAATGACTATCCTTTCATAGACTCTTCTCATAGAAATAAGTAGAAGCACAGGATCCCTGGACATCTGCTTGGCTACTGCCCCTCCAGGCTGTGTTTTCCTCTTCACCCTGCCATTCTTATTCACCTCTCACTTCTCTCAATCTCTGTTCTCAATTCTATCCATCTCCACAAGCTATCTTCAGACTCACTGTATAGATTTCTATCACCTCCCCATAAAGGTTGTCTGGCTCTCACACAACCACAACAGTAGACATTTCCCAAAGTCTGAGTTACAATCCAAAATGATGCTCAGGAATTTCCAGAGTGTGCTTTGGAATTCCAAATCCACTTTCCTTTGTGATCTCCCTGAGGTACGAGTTTATGCATTTGTCCCTTTATTCTTCTGAGACTTCAGAGGGTAGCTGTTGAATCACCAAAACACTGATTTTCAGAGATCTAAACACATTAGAAGAAAGGAAAGCACTTCCTAGCTGCCCCACCTTTTAAAAGGCTGTTTTAAACATCAGTATAAAAACCTAAATCAAACCCATGATCACCTAGTTAGTTTCAACTTGTGGTAAATCCAGTCAGGTTTCCAAGGCTGTAAATCTTCACAGGAGGAAAATCTTGACATCTTTCTTCTAAAGAGCAGCTGACTGATTCAAATTACTGATTTTTTGGTCAGCAAACTTGGAACATACTATGCCACCAGGACTGTATTAACCTTCAATAGTCAGTAGTAATTATAAAGTGATCCACTGCCCAGTTTACCCAACAGAAGTGTTTCTGAAGTGTCAGACTTTTAGGGGTAAATCTGGGGGAAATTCCAGGCAGACTGAGACAAGTTGGTCACTTTACAGTTACTAAGGACATAAACTCTGACATTCAATTCCTGGATTCAAATCCAGCTCTGCCCCTTGTCTGGGTGAGCTGCAGCTACATTTAACTTCTCTAAGATTCAGTTTCTTCATCTGTAAAATTAAAATAACAATAATAGTTCCTCCTTCATAGTGTCATTATAGTATTTTGAAAGTTAACTTATGAAAGTATGTGTAATACTGACTGCCAAGGTAAAAGCCTAATAACCATTTGCTATTTCTATGAACATCAGTATTCCTTTTGTCATTGGGCTACCCTCCCCCACATCACCATCAAACAGTGATCCTATAAGAGTCTGGAGTAAGAAGTTGACTCATTACTAAATCTGTCTTTTGATAGTATTATTTCTGTTAGGTGTTAACGAGTCAAGTTGACTCTGACTCAGAGCGAACCTCAAACCTCGAAACAACAGAACATTGCCTATCCTGCTCCGTCTCCACAATCTCTGCTATGCTCAATCCCACTGTTACTGTCTCTGTGTCTGTCAATCCATCTCACTGAGAATCTTCTGGTCTTTCACTGACCCCTCTACTTTTCCAAACATGATGTCTTTTTCCAAGAACTTTTTCATCACTCTTATCTCTAAGGAGCACCCTGTTTGCAACTCCTCCAAGACATATTTGTTTGTTCTTTCAGCAGCCCAGGGTGTACTCTTTACCACCACAATTAAAAGGCAATCAGCCAGTCCTTCCTTAGTCTTCCTTATTCATTGGTCAGACATTTGCATGTATGTGAAACAATTAAAAATATCATGGCTTAGGTCAGGTGCACCTTAATCTCTAAATGAACATCCTTGCTCTTTAGCATTTTAAAAGGTCCTTGACACCAGTACATTTTATTTCAGGGATGCTGCCACCATGAGTGCTGACTGAGGATCCAAGTAAAATTAAATACTTGACAACTTATCTTTCCTTCATCTATCACTGCGATGCAGTTGTGATGATTTTTATTTTCTTGGTGTTTAAGCATATTTCATATTAAATACTCTAGTCTTTGATCATCTTCAGTAAGTGTTTAATGTCTTCACTTTCTACAAGCAAGATTGTGTCATCAGCAAGACACTGGTTGTTAATGAGTCTTCCCCCATCTTGATGCCATTTTTCATATAGTCCAGATTCTTACATTACTCAGCATATAGGATGAATAGGTACAGAGAAGATACAACTGCGGTGCACACCTCTCTGCGTGCCTTGGGGATTACAGGACAGCTTCTTACCACTAGGCCACCAGAGCTCCTGGTGTCAGTCTACAAGTCATACATATGAAGCAATCTCTCTCTGGGAGCAAGGAGCTCATCTTGGTAGTAGCTCTTGCACTACCTGGCATAGTATGTTTGTGCACCAAAGGAATAGACATATACACTAGGTGAATTTTTGTCACAGACTGCTCGAGTCCTAAAATAGAAATAGGCTTTCTTTAACTGAGCATTTTGTCCTAACCATTTTCTTCTAATCCCCACTCTTGGGACAGGCCCAAGGCCAAAGCTAATGGGTGAGGATGGAAATGCCAGCACCTTCAATGTCTCCTACACCAACTTCTTCCTGGTGGGCTTTCCTGGGTTGCGAGAGTGGCGGCCCCTCCTGATCCTGCCTCTTACCTTCCTCTATGTGACCATCATTTCTGCCAATGCCATGGTCATCCACACCGTGATGACCCAGCGGAGCCTGCACCAGCCCATGTACGTGCTCATCACTCTGCTCCTGGCTGTCAACATTTGTGCCGCCACCACAGTGATGCCTAAAATGCTGGAGGGCTTTGTGCATTATGCCAATCCCATCTCACTGCAGGGCTGCCTGGCCCAGATGTTCTTTATCTACTTCACCCTCCTTCTAGACTACAATCTCTTGCTGGCCATGGCCCTGGACCGCTATGTGGCCATCTGCCACCCACTCCGCTACACTGATCTGATGACCTCCCGCCTGTTGGGCCTGTTAGCTATTCTTGCTCTGGCACGGAGCCTGGGAGTGGCAGTGCCCTTGGTCATACTCACCTCACGAGCTCAATTCTGCTGGACACCAGTGATCCGACACTTCACCTGTGAGTACATTGCACTGCTGAGCATAGCTTGTGGGGACCTGACCTTCAACAACAGGTTGGGGCTGGCAATGCGGTTGGTCACTGTGACCTTTGATCTGGCCCTGCTGGGAACCTCCTATACCCGCATCATCTATGCGGCCTTCCGGATCTCTTCGGGGGGAGCCCGAGCCAAGGCTTTGCACACATGTGGCTCCCATTTGCTGGTCATCCTCACCATCTACCTCTCTGGTCTCTCCACTTCCATCGTCTTCCGAGTAGCCAAGACTGTATCTCAGGATGTGCAGAACCTGCTCAGTGCCATCTACCTGCTGCTCCCAGGAGCTTTAAATCCTGTCATCTATGGAGTGAGGACAAGAGAGATCCGGCAACACATAGAAAAAATGCTCTGTAGAAAGGAGTCAGCCTAGAGGTTGGAAAAAAGTCAAAGACTGCAGAACATAAGACTGGAAGCTTCTTCCTCAGGGTGAGAGGAACTGGAGCTGCTAGCTCCTCAGGGTGCATAAAACATGTAGGCAGTACTAAGGGGCAAGCTGAAACCTCCTGAAATTATGGACTCTCTTGGAAGTCCATTGCTGGTCAACTAATGCTTGCTGTATTCTTAGGATATTCTGTTTCCATCACAATAATAAACTGCTTTGACTTGGATGAGCTTCTCTAACAATTCCTTCCACAGATGTGATCAATCTGATCCCATTGCTTCTCTAGTCTCTTTTCCCAGACTCCTGAGAAAAAGATCTGATTTTTAGCCAGATGTATGGAATTTCACCAGAAGTTGAACAGAGGAAGTCAGAGACTACAACTTGGCCTAAACATTCAGTATGAAGCAAATCCATAGTCTAGGCCCTTCTCTGGGGCTCAGTTATCTCCAAACACACTTCACATGAAGTAAAGTCTCACCAAACACAAGCCAGCCTTGAGAACATTAGAATCTAAGCACATAGACTGGGTTCCAGGATTCCAGATACAGGTCCTGGCCTGGGGTTCCCAACCTGACAGAGGTGAACAAGTGACCCATCTAGCCCACACAAAAAGGTCAGGCCCCTAGTCTGACTCAAGATACCCAGACAAGGTCTTCTCTGGAGCCCACATCTGACTAAAAAGTAGACTATATCCTGATGTGAGACCCCCTATATTATCAACCCCAAAGGTCAGGGCATTCCTCCCATGTCAGCCTGTGTAGTCTATCTAAAATAAACCCATTAACTCTTGCTTAAGCACCTTTCACCACTTCTGTCATCTATACAATAGAGTCTAAGTTCTTTAAAATGCCACATACAGCTCCCATGATGTGACCACAGGCAATCTCTCTAGCTTTATCAAGCACTGAAAGAAAGTCAGTAGCACAAGGAAAACTGGAAATTACCCAGATATGTGGAAATTAACACATTTAAGCAACCAATGAATTAAAGGTCTTTCACAAGGGAAATCAGAAAATACTTAGGAACTAGTGAAAATGGAAGTATAATAGACCAATACTTAGATAACAACAGTGAAAGTAGTGCTAAGAGGGAAATTTATAGATGTAAACACCTACATTTGGAAAATAAAATCTCAGATCAATAACTTAATCAATAACCACAGTTGGAGAAACATGAAAACTATGTCCAGAAATACCAAGAGGTAGAACAGCTAGAATCATCCAAAATGGAGCCAATTGCTGCTTATCCTTTAAAGTGCTGGACACCCAAAACAAAAGTATTTGCAGTCTTCCTGTCTATGGTTCTCTGCAGTGTTACTTACTATTCATTCTATAACTGAAATTCCCAAGACCTAGAAATGGCAGCTTTTATGCCTTTGTAGTGAAGGATGCCAAAGGAAAAATTGTGTCTCTGGAAAAGTGTAAAGGCAAAGTTTCACTAGTTGTAAACGTGGGTAGTGACTGCAAACTCACAGAGAACAATTATTTAGCACTACAGGAACTGCACAAAGAATTCGAACCGTTCCACTTCAACATCTTGGGTTTCCTCTGCAATCAGTTGGGAGTCTCAGAGCCTCACCCAAGTAAGGAAATAAATTTCTTTGCAAGAAATAACTTCAAAGTAACATTCGCCATCTTCCACAAGATTGAGATTCTGGGATCAGAAGCAGAACCTGAATCTTGACTTCTTGCTGACTCATCAAAGAAAGAACTAAGGTGGAACTTTTTTTTTAATTTTTTTAAAAATTTTATTATTTTTTGTGTGCGTGTACCGTCAAATCAGATCTGACTGGTACAGGAGGAGATTGTCCCTCCTTACCCGGCAGAGCATCTGGTGGATTCGAACCGTTCGCCTCTGGGATTGTAGTTGCAGCTCCTTGCCACTAAGGTGGAATTTTTTAAAGTACCTGGTCAACACTGAGGGTCAAGTTGTGAACTTCTGGAAGCCAGGAGTCCATCAAAGTCATCAAGCCTAACATAGCAGCTCTGGTTAGACAAATGATCATCAAAAAAGAAAAGAGGACCTATGAAGATGCCTTTGAACTAATGCAACAGTTCAGAACATAAATGTCTCCGTGAGTGTTCCGTCTCATTTTAAGAACTCTGACAATTCAACAACAGCACTGAGGATGATTATGTTATTATCTTGTTAATGTTTGGCAATTAATGTCCCTTTTGATAAGAATGCCCTCAATATTAATGTTTTATCCAAAGCAAAAAGAGTAGACAAAAATTCAAAATTAAGAAAAGAGCAAAGATGAATAATTTAGAAAAACACTAGAGAGAATAAAACAAAACGTTCTTTGATAATAGGGTAAAAGTGGATAGAGAATGACCATTGCATTGGAACAGATGAAGGACAGAACTGTTTAAAAGGAATATATATGCCTTTGGGCTGGCAGCACAGCTCCTTACCATTAAGCCACTCCATTAACATTTGGTGACTGACAACTCTCCCTTGGGATAAGATATTGTCCTCTAAGCGAGAACAATTTTATTTATTTCCTGGTTCATGCAAAAACCACCACTCACGAACTGGCTGACCTTCCCAGGCATTAACGACAGCCATCTACCACACAGGTGAATCAAATCTGCCGCGCGCCACACAGAGCATGCGCACTAGCCCATAATACGCGCTGTTGCTGCAGCAGCGTCCACATGGGAGATTCAGCTGCGTCTCTTAAGTGTAACCACCTTTCCATTTCTCGAAAATCCCCGCCTCCTCCTAAGAATAAACATGAAAACTCTTCTCGCCTAAAATTTTAGAAATCAAAAAATTTATTTATCCAGTGGGTCACTGGTCAACTCTGCTTTGTCCCTCCGTGTCTCCCTTTGCAAAAGTTTTACTGCGCAAAGTATTTTTTTCCTAATAAAACGTCCTTCAGTGTTTTGCTGTAACTTACTGAGCAAGAGGAACTAAAAACTCACTGCTGTCAAATTGGAATTGATTTCTAGCCGACCCTCCAGCAGGAGCGGACACTAAATCGCACGGGAGGGTGCCCATTGTTCTCCTGCACAGCGGCTGGGGGATTAAAGCTCCAGGCACCCACCTGTGGGCTACCTGCCCTACTCCCTCCGGAAGGAAGCCTTGAGAAAGAAGTGTGGACCTTTGGGTCAGAAATTCTTGAATGAAGACAGACTGGGACAGAGACTAGCGGCAGCAGAAGTGGGGGAGAACCAGAGACCCACAGTGCCACAGCTGGTAGAAACAACAGAACTGTGTGTAATCTGAACAGTAGCCTGTTACTCCCCTGTCTTAGAAGCTTAAACAGGGTGCTCCTTAGAACCAACTAAAGTAAAACTTGGTCTCACATATTTGGGCATGTGTCAGAAGGGGGCCAGTCGTTGGGAAAAGGCATCACACTCGAAATAGTACAGAATCAGCAAAAGAGAACACCTTCAAGATGGACAGTGACTTCACTGGACTTCAGGATGACATAGGTCATGAAGATGGTGCAGGACAGGGCTAGGTTTCATATCTATTGTTCTTAAGGTTGCTATTAGTCATAGTCAACTTGATCGGATGGTTTAATGGTAAGAAATTGCACTGCCAACTCAAACAAACGTAGTTCAAATCCACCAGTTGCTCCATGAGAGAAAGACAGGCGTTACTGCCTCTGAAAATCCACTAGAGGATGATGGTTAGTTCCAACTGAAGGATACACAACTAGACAGATAGATGAGTGGGGACAGTTGAAGAGGGAAAACAGTGGCTAGAAAGATATATTAAGTTTGGTAACAGAAATGGCAATATCCTACATCAGGTTGTTGTCATGTATCAAGTTGGAATGCACCCATAACTGACCCTCTGGTAGGGTGGTTAATTACACAGATTGTCCACTTTCTCCCAGAACAGCTTGTGGATTCGAACTACATACCTTTTGCATTGACAGCACAATCCCTTACAACTAAGCCACCAATTATATGGGGTTATCAATACATTATCACTAAAGAAAAGGAAGATATGATGGAACACTACTACAGGACACAGAAGCGATTTTGAAAATCACTACATAACTTGGGAGGGACTGGAGAGCATTACGCTAAGTGAACTCAGTCCCATAAGGACAAATACTGTGTAAGACCATTATTTTAGAAATAGATAACTAGTAAAACATGCATGAGGATCCAAGGGGGGGGGAATAGGAGCAGAGGGGTGAGGGTGGGCAGGGTCCATAGCATCGCACAATTTGATGGGTAAAGGAAATGGGAAAGATCCAGTGTGAAAAACAATGCATAAGAACTTTGTTATTAGTACAAAATAAAAATTTTATTTAAGAGGAAGATATTGAAGAGTAACACTATTATATGCACAATCCTGCACTATCACTAATAACAATCTCTAAGTTAATAAATACATAGGCAATAAAGGTGAATAGATAAAGGCAGGTAAGAGGAGCTGCACATGACCTTAGGCTTGTTAGAGGGCATTACTACATGCATATTTGTGTTGTTAGGTGCCATGGAGTCAGCTCACATTGGGCCCTACATACAAGAAGGAAACTGCCCAATTTTGAGTCATACATCCAGGTACAAAGGGGACCCAAATCAAAGTAGAGAGACAGCTGAGTTGGTTCCAACTCGACAATTGATTGTGGGTGGCAATTATATAAACTGCTTAATCATAAACATCCTGAGGGAATGAGCTGTCTTATCATTGGGAGACATCAAGGTCAACTGGCATAAAGGTATACAATTTTGTACACCCTACTTTGGTAACAACTGTCCTAAAAAAAAAATAAAAAATCTATAGAAATAGTTCAAAGGACTAAGGAATCATTAAATGGGAGAAAAAAAAATGTGAAACACCCAAGATTACAGACTTTTCAAAAACTGGAATTAAACTGACTTCTATGGCACTTAACAACAATAACATCAACAGAGAGAGAAAGAGCGAGAGAGATATCAGCTGGCCCAGTGATGAGAAAACTATTTGACCAAGACTTTTAAACCGCGGCCCTCAGGCCAGTCTTTCATTGTTTTTGTTCAGACATTCCTCTAGGTCGTATAGCCCTGGTGTACAAGTTGCCGAGAGGCTGAACACTGTAACACGGATGTGTCAAATGGGGTGGAGCTCCCCAATTAAAACAAGCGTGGAAGGAGTGGCATCCACTTCCATAATAGCTTGCCTCCAGAAACCCTATGAACCTGGAGAGAGGATGAAAGGCACCCAAGCATCGAGGACTCTCCTTCATAGGGTTGCTATGAGTCACCTGCGACTCAACAGCACTTAACAACAACAGCATAGCTCAACTTTCAGACAGACGTCTAAGGTAAATAGTAACACGGGGGATTGTGCTCACAGCTTGGAACAATTACACAAGCTCCAAATACATAGTACTTGCCCAGCAATTAAGCTCAGCAGGCAGGAAGGGATCAGATAAGATGAAAGGAAGCAAAAAATCACTGAGAGAGAATGGGAAGACTATAGCTACAATGAGAGAATTGTTATTAATAAAACAAAATGCACATGGAAAACAATCTGCTCTGTGGACTTTCACTCCAAGCACAATACAGTGGTTTGTAAATGTTAAACACTAAGACGCTATACAAATGTGACGAATATTATTGAAGGGTAGAATCCAAGTACTAGAAAATATCTTTTCAGTTAAAGAATAAAATCTGGGCTCTTTCCTATAAAAAATAAACCTATGTGCACATATCAACAACTACGTGTACTATCTGGCACAAGGTAGGGACATTCTGCAAGAATTTAAATGAAGAAAGTAGTAAGTCAAAAGCTAGCTCATTTAATTCCATGACAATCCTTTACTTCTATTTTGTACCCACAGATCTGAAGAAATTTTCCTAGAAAAGGTTTAATAATAATTACTCAAAGTAGTGGTGTGTCCGAGTTATTGAGACTGGTAGGATTCAGAGCTGCTATCCATAGGGTCGCTATACATCGCAAGCGACTCAACAGCACATAACAACATACTATACCGGTTGTTTTTTTAAGCCTCATTTAGTCAACAAGACCTCGGGGAGGGCCTTGTATTTAAAGTTGGTTGTTACTGTATTTTGTAGGAACACTCTTCTAAGTGGTACAGCACTCTTCTGTCTATATGCTATACTGAGGTAATCTGGGGTTGCTGTGATGCTGAACCTTGTGCTCTTGGGGTGTCAAATGCCATTAACGGTTACCTAATGGTGGACAGTGTTTGGTGGAGATCCCAGTTTAAGACAGGTTTAGAAATAGGAGTGGCATCTACTTCCTAAACAACATGTCTCCAGAAACACTATGAACTTTGATAAATGTCCATAATTATAGAAAGGCTGAGTCGTGCTCAACTTGAAGACAATCAACACTTAACCTTTTGCCATGGAGTCGGAACCAACTAACACTGACCCTTCACTGTGTTTCTGAGGCTATAAATCACATGAGAAAATTGCTATTTTTCTTCCTCAGAGTCACCAGTTGATTTCAATTACCAGAGAGGTGTGGCCTTTGGGCTTGCAGCAAAACTACCCATGGACTATATCTCCAGAGCTCCAAAAGAAGTTTCACTTTATATGAATGTGAAATAGGGAGCAATTACAGTGGTTTCAATGTATATTACAAGTTAATTTTAACAATCTCTGAAATAACTGGTAGAAAAATTATTTCATATTATAGCATCATTGAGAAAAAGTGCTAAGCATATAGAATAAGTGAGTCTATAAATTTGTAACTGAAAATAAATTCAGCTAATTCACTGAGAATAAAACTGGTAATCCAAAGTCAATTCTTTAGAGAGAAATGGTGAAGTTCGTCAAAATCGAAAACAAGAAGACATTGACTAAAATATAGCACAGACATACTCAATTTTGAAAGTCAAAATACCCAAGGTTTCTAAATACAAGAATATACAACAATCACCTAGGGATCTTGTTAAAAATGTAGATTCTGATTCAGTACCTGAATATGAAAGGTGAATTTTAAGCAGGGAGCTGAACCACAGTGCACTGGTTTGAAACCCTGAAGATTTCAAGTCTCTTAACTTTTGTTATGTGGAATTGTGGTATTGGCCAAGAATACTGCATATACTGTGGACTGTCAAAAGAACAAATCTGTCTTGGAAGAAGCGAAGCCAACATGCTCTTTAGAATGAGGGTGAAACTTCCATCTCACATGCTATGCACGTATTAACAAGAGAGGCAAACTATGGAGAAAAGGTCATGCTTAGCAAAGGAAAGGGTCAGTTAAAAAAAAAAAAAGATGAAAGCCTTCCACAGGATGGACAGAGGCTACCTGCGTAAACCCAGCAGGCATTCTGAGGACAGCGTTCACTTGTACATAGAGTCATAATTTTAAGTCAGTACCTAATAACAGCTTTTTAGAATCCATTCTTACCTGAAAAAGTAGAATTTAATGTTGGTTATGTCCTGATAGAGAAGACTGAATTGAATGTAAGCCATTAAAAATATCCAATGAAAACAACTGAAAATGCAATAGAAAAAATGGAATGTAAAGAAAGAAAATTGGGGCATTTTACTACTAAAGGTGCTGGGGTGACTTTCCCATACAAAAAAAATGGGAAAGTAGCTACATCCAAAGCATATTGTTGTTGCTGTGTACCATCAATTCAGAAACAATGATTAGCTGACCCTCCAGCAGGTTTTCAGAGGCAGTAAGTTACACAGGAGAGTGCCCATGTTTCTCCTGAATTCAAACTGTGTGTCTTTGGGTTATCTCCTCTTTGTCCAAACTCTGTTAGGAAAACTCTTGATAGCATAAAAGAGGTAAGCATGTTTGTTTAATACATGCATTCATTAAAAAAAGGAAAAAGGTACATATTAAAATTGGAAGTTTATACAGATAGTAACTTGTCTTAAAATTTTTTATCCTAAACTCTTCAAAGACAAGTTTTATTTTTCAAATTTGGTATTTGTATGAAAATAAATGGCAAAATGAATCTGACACAGTCATTTGCAAATACTAATGTTTATTTGAGAACACCTATAGGGCCTTAACCACATAAAAAGCCCTGAAGCTAGTCTGATGATAATTTCTATTAAGTTAAGAACACTTCTTTGGTGGCTCTGATGGTTTTTAACATGAATATTCATTTTCATTTCAAAGAATCTCTCAGGAGAAGCCACAAAATAAAAGTTGAAATTATAAAAGGAGTGCCAGAGGGGTGATTCCTTCCTATTTGCAAGATGACATGAAAATCATACATTTTTCAATACTATATAGAAAGAGTACTTTAATTCAGTTACTATTTTTTGGTAACAAAGTCCAGCCATCCATACCACCTCAAGAAAGGCTCCTTCAACTATCTAGGCTCAAGAAGTGGTATGGATGACAAAGTACTGGTCTCTCCTCAGGATCCACACATCAGACACTCATCTCTGTTCTCTAGAGAGCACACCATGGCTGCTGTGTTCCGCTCCTTTTCTTCTTCCTCTTTTGATGCTTTTTCCTTGTCTTTCAGCTTCTCCTTATTCAGAGTGAACTGGATGGGATTAGCTGCTGGTCTTGTCCTTAAATAATACATTCCAGTCTTCAAACCCTATTAAGCAAAAATAATTATTAAAAATATCATTTTTTAAAATGCTACACATTCAAGCCAATATTTAAACTACATCCCCATAAACCAACTCAAAGCTCTTTAAAAATGATCAAAGTATTAAAATGGCACAACTCTGTTTTTCTACCATAAAAATTGGCTTACATTATTTGGTAATAGCAAACATTATGTTCTCCAGTCTGTTTTATTTTCTGTATGACTTCAGTGTTTGCCCAACTCTTTGTGTAACACCAGACAATGACTACCTCAAGGATAAGAAAGAGTAGTTAAGAATAATGGCAGTGGAATAGAAAGAGGTAATATGAAAAGGGGGGGAAACCCCAACCAACACGATCTGATGAGTCCTGTATGAAAAATAACAGAAAAGGAGGGTCACATGTACCTCCAAGGTTTCAAATATTGGATTTGAAATCATTCAAATCAAATCATGTTGTTGTTCTCTGACACTGAGTAGGAACTGATTCAAAGCTGACCTTCCAGCAAGTTTTCAGATGCAAAAAAATGGGTTGATTTTTAACATACCAGATTTGAAGGAGAGAAAGATTTCTAGTGACAGTATCTAACAGGGCCTTAGATTTCCTTTACCAACCTGCTTCCAGCCGTAGAAATGCATACTAGTGAGTTTGCCATAGTTAGGCTCAGCAATGTGGATGTTCAGAGACTGGCTTTGATCTATGAAAGCCCCTCTCTCAGCTGCCATCTTGAGTACGGTTTTTTGAGAAATTTCCCACACCGTCTTATAAAGCTGCTTCAAGTCATCGGGAATTTCAGGTATACTCTGAAGAAAAAAAACAAAATGTTTATTCCACTCCTCTTAAAGAAAGTAGTCTGATGGACAGAATAGCAACCGAAGCTTTCAGCCCTGGTTCTATCTTCTGTCATATTTGACCCCACTATTCAGTATCATGGGGATGGGGGAATGCCTGCCAGAACCCGCAGACCTTCCCATCTTCCCAGGTAATCGGAGACACCAGGAACACGTGACATCCGTTC